AAATCGACGCTTTGATAGAGGAGTCAGTGTATTAAATTCCCTTTTCCTATTAGCAGACCTCAATCTATTAACCCATTAAGTGTACACTATACCATTACGTTCGTGAACTCTGTCAAGCATTTCCATTACCATGCTTACACCAATTTATGCACAGTATACTTTCGTAATCTGTTCATCAGAATTGTGACACATCTATAAACAGTTCTTTCTGTACTGCTTCGTTAGAGTTATATTATAAACACATGGGCTAATTCGAGAGGAAAATTAGAACAAAAATAAAGCTTGACTCGCGAGTGCTATCATGTGAAAATGTAGTGGTAATTCAGTTTTTACAGGGAGAAGGGAATTTTGAATTTTTATCACGCGTTTCAAGAAAATCATCGTAATGGAGGGCGAGAAATATGAAACAAAAGATAACCATCTTCCTTAATTGGAGTTTACAAAAAGAATCTTGAAAGAGCAGCTGGCATCGTTAAGATGATGGAAGATATAACATTGACAATACAATAAACAATGTTTGAGCGCCAAGTTACTTATTATACTTTGTTCACATAGATCGCTAAATAAGAGGTATAAATATTTTTATGCAATTTTCTCTTGAGACGCCGGACAGTAGAGTTCTGCGCAGACTTTCTAACAGGATAATTAGTTGCCAGAGACAGAGAGAGAGACTTTATTTATTAGAGTCACCTGGGACACACTTTTGTGTTTCTTAATATGCAGTTTAAGTAAATTACTTCCAAAAATTTACATGCTTGCACAATTACAGTAACAATGTTTGTTTTTGTACATCATAGTTTAAGAGTAGCACGATTCTGCATTACAAGGAACTTCTGGCGAATATAATGCTTGAAGATGTTATCTTCGTGCATCATGTATTAGTTTATTATGACGTAGAAGAAATGTATATTTTGCTTGTGTTATAGTAAGCAAATTGAACACCCTGTCTATTATATTTACGTTGCTTCAATCTTAAGAATTTTTTATGATAAAAGACAATTAAACAATGTGTATTGGAACTCTACACTATCGGACAATATTAGCTTCCCGTTTTCTCAACTCCGACTAACCTCCAAGAAAATATAAGAACTGTGAATAGTGATATAAAGACACGTTAAGACTTGAAGGGCATGTTATTTACTGTCAGTTGCATGTTTATATTAGTTCATATTCCTATAGTTTTTTTTCAAAAATCTTCGAAAACTTACTCCGTGCCGAAAAATTACGATAAAAGGGTTAACAAGTTTTCGATTATATGAAATTAAGTTTTTTTTTTAAATCACTGCACATTTTGTCTAATTAATATGATTTATGAATCAGTAAACAGATAATTAATGTATATTACGACACTATAGTGTATTGATGGTTGTTCGGCAGTTATCCGCATACTTTTTCTGATGAACAAAAGTATGAACAAGTATATGATGAATAGTGTGTTTTGTGTTTTTGCCCCCAGTCGGGATCTCAGAGACGATATGTTTGAAACTGTGTCCATATCCTCACTAACAAGTAAATGGTACCAAACTTGGTACACGTTCTTAAGTACCACGGGTGGGTGTTCTAATTGTTCGTTGTTTTCGGGTAGTTATAGACGTTTTTGGATATAATGGATGAGCTTCTTCTGTATTGGAATCTCTGGAGTCATGGGAAGTCTTTGAAGCTCGCAGCGGAGCGCGGGTATTTTATGTTAGTATAAAAAAGGATGTTAATAATTTTAACGGATCTTTTTACACAATGGGCTCCTCGGGTATTTCATGTTGGTATAAAAAAGGATGTTAATGATTTTAAAGGATCTCCTTACACAATGTGCTCCTCGGGTATTTCATGCTGGTATAAAAAAGGATGTTAATAATTTGAAAGGATCTCCTTACACAATGGGCTCCTCGGGTATTTCACGCTGGTATAAAAAAGGATGTTAATGAATTGAAAGGATCTCCTTACACAATGAGCTTTCTGCGCTCTGTCCACCACGTAGAACTGAATTCAAATTTTTGAACATTGTAAGTTCGTAAACTTACCTCTGACCTACGGGGTGGGAGTTGGGGGCTATCAGTATTCTAAAACTGATGGTTGTTTGATTTAAACTAGTGTATATTTATAACATATATAAAACGTTTCGACAGACAAGTTCAAAACCATATAAATATTCCACTTTATTTAATGTTTGTTACTAATTAACATCCTCTAATGTGACTCTATCATTTTAAATATATGCATAATTATAAACTAATTTCGAACAGAATTGCGTAATGTAACTGGAAAATTTCAAAATTTATGCCAAGATAAGTTTATTTTTCCAACCCCCACTCCAATAATGAAAGTTTGGTTACAAGATATCTTGCGATATTTAACTCGTCAATTTATAATCTGCAATATATCATGGTGTATCTTTTGTTTGTTTGTTGAATTTCGCGCAAAGCTAACCGTCCCTAATTTAGCAATGAAAGGCTAGAGGGAAGGCAGTTAGTCATCACCACCCACCGCCAACTGTTGGGCTACTTTTTTATCAGCGAATAGTGGGATTGACCGTCGCATTATAACACTTTCACGGCTGAAAGGGCGAGCATGTTTAGTGGGATGGGAATTCTAACCCGCTACCCTCAGATTGCAAGTCAAGCGCCCTAACCACCTGGTCATTCCGGGCCGTCTTGTATCTTTACAACATTTACAACATTAAAAAAAAAGGCCCGG